CTCCTCCATGTACAGACTATTCCACATATACATATATATTACATGTAGCCCAGGCTAGTGCTGAACTACGTACATATCCCAGGATGACCTTCAGCTCATGATCCTCCTGTCTCCCACTTTTCATGCACTGGAATTACAGTATGTGTCACCAGGCCTGGCAAGTGGCTCTGTTTTCTTAGTTCTCTAGAAGAAACTGTACCTTTCACGTCAAGTACTGTTCCCAGCAGAATTCTTGAAAGTGTACTAACTAAGCAGGGGACAAGCTGAGCCAGGAGGAAGGGACAGACACCAAACAATGGTGATTCAAAGCTTCCCGGAAGAGCTGAAGAACCTCTCGGATTCCACAGAACACACTTTGAGCACACAGCAGACACAGACAAAAGACTATGTGTGGCGTTGGATGTGTGAGTGGATCATTTGCACCCTACTAGTGACTCAAAACATTGCCTCAAGTTTATCCGGATACCTGCTACTTTGCTTGGCCATATATTTGAGCAAAAAACAAACAAACAAACAAAAAACTGTTTTTTCCCCAGGTCTGGTAGGGGAAGTTATTAAAAAGATTCTATGTGCTCTTAGGATTAATGCCAGCATCCACTTCACCCCTGCCCTCGTCCCCAGCAGAGTGTCCCACAACCCGAAAGCATGAGATTGCCTAGAAGATGAAGGCCACGGCTAAGCCGGTGCTCATCAGTTCTGCTCTTCGGCAAGAGTGAAACTGGGTAACATCTGTACTGATTTTCTTCGTGGAAACTGACGCGATCAAAATGATGTTTTCCCTGTCAAAAGAATCTTCTGAGGATTTCCTCACTCCCGCATCAGTCAACAGCTTTGAATTCCTTCCTCAGTGGAGGGAGGATTTTGGAAACAAGGAAATGAGAGAGCGAGAGCAGAGAAAAAGGGGGCGCTCCTGTGTGGACTTTGGGATGTGGACTTCAGTCTGAAGATTGCTCCAGAGTCAGGCACAAATGCCCGGGTCATCACTCTGGTGACACTCTTATAAAACACTTCAGTACAGCTGCCAATGAGTCTTCTGCCAAGTGCCAAGTCTCTGTTGCAAACTCTCTCATTAAAATATATTCTGTTTTTCTGACTACTAAAGCGCATTTTCATTATCAAAATTTATATCAAACAATATAAAGTGTAAAGTAATATAAGATTAAAAGTTATATTTACTCTCCCACAGGTAACCAAGAACACTGATACTTCTTTTATAGGCATAATTAAGAGACATATATTACATAGCATAACACTTTCCATGCTACTTTCAACATAATGCCCTCTTTCCCCCACTAATATATTACTGTCATATTTCCAATTGCCCATTAATTTCCTTGTGTTTATTTTCAGTTTTGTTTGTTTGTTGGTTGGTTGGTTGGGTTTGTTTTTTTTTTTTTTTTTTTTTTTTTTTGGTTTTTGTCAAGACAGGGTTTCTCTGTAGCTTTGGTGCCTGAACTGGAATTAGCTCTTGTAGACCAGGCTGGTCTCGAACTCACAGAGATCCGCCTGCCTCTGCCTCCCGAGTGCTGGGATTAAAGGCATGCACCACCACCACCCAGCTTTATTTTCAGTTTTAAAGACAGCTAGAACTCTTTCTTTCTGAAGGATCTGTATGATGACCCTTTTGTTTTGCTAGACAAGGTCTCATGTAGCCCAGCTAGCTCTGAGTTCACAATGTAGCTAAGGAGGATCTTGAACTTCTGATTTTTCTCTCTCTAGCTCCTAGGACTAGGACTATAAGTGTACACCACCCTACCTGGCTAATATTCCAATACAGCACTTTTCCCCCTCTCTCACTCTGTAGCCCAGGCTGGTCTGATCTTAATGTAGGATAGACTGTCATGATCCTCTTGCCTCAGCTTCCCAAGGGCTGAGATTACAGTCCTGAACCACCTGCTCAGCTTTCCAGTACTTTTGGATAGGTACAAAGATGAGGGCAGATAGTTGCTTGGTGCAAACAAGACAAGTTCACAAAAACCTCCACTTTGAACTTTTGAGGCTATTGCTTAACAACTGAATAAACAGCTGTATTTGTGGGGTGTTAAAAGGATTACTTTGAAGCCAGGCACAATGGGTCGTTCCTATAATCCTAACACTGACAGCTAAGACAGGAAGACTGCTATGATTTCCTCCAGGCTAGTGAGGACTACATAGTGAGTTCTCTGTAAACCTTGACTACAGAGTGAGACCCTGTCTCAAAATAAAAAAAAAATTACTTTGAGAGAGAGTAATGGAATGTAAATAACTGAAAGCAGAAGTGGGGACTAATTTGAAGAAGAAAGAGGCCAGTGGAATAAAAGTATAAGATTCAAGTATGATACTTACATATGAAACTCTCACAATGAAACCCATTTATTTTGTATGCTGAGCAAAACAATAGAAAATAAGAATGGCTACTAGGAAGGTTTTTCTCCCTAAAAATACATTATTTTGTTAAACAATATAAATATAAAAGTATAAAGGGTTAGTAAGATTGCTACTTTTCCATTGAACTGAGTTTGGGTCCTAGCACCCACACCAGGCAGCTCATAACCATTCGGAACTCTAGTTCCAAGGGCCATAACACCCTCTTCTGGCTTCCACAGGTACTCACACAGACCCCCATATATACATAAATTTAAAAAAATCTAAAAATATTAACACTTAAAATATACATATATATATATATATAACATTTGCCATGTCTCCATTTTTAGATTTATTTAGTGTACACATGTGTTTTGTCTTCAAGAATGTATATGCACCACATGTATGTCTGGTGCCTGGAGTGGTGAGCTGACATGGGGTTGCCGGGAACTGAACTCTCTAAGGGCAACAAGTGCTCTTTGCTGCTGAGCACCTCTATAACTGTGACCAAATCAAAACTGACCAAGCTGTGGTGGCGCATGTTTGTGATCCCCCTACTCAGGCAACTGAAGTAAGAGACTTGCCATGAGACTGAAGCCGACCTGGGCTACATAATGAGCTCAAGAATAGCCGGTTCTACATAGAAAAACAAAATGAAGCTGACATAGGATTCTGGATATCTGGAACTGCTAAGCAAGCATTAACTTTCTTCCTTTCCTGCACCCTGAAGCTATGCGAAGGTGGGCATAGGAGCAACAGCAGCCCTAACCACTCCCTACCCCCACTACTGATTCTGGACGCTCTTTAAACACTACCCAACGGATTCCGACCTAAAGTGTTTCCCCAGCTATTTTCTACGAAGAGTTACTTATGACAAGGAGCTACAAACCCTTTCCAAATGGATGCAATTTGCCTAGGCCAGGTTAAGAGACTATGCTCTCCCTCCCCTCCCATTCTCAGAATTTCAATCCTGAGTTCACACAATGGCCCTCATGTTGTCTTGAGGACTTGCTATTTCTTCTATCAAGTGTACTTCCTGGTTCTTGTCCTTGAAGTCTATTAACCCCGTATGAATTTGTGTATTTTTTTAAAATGGTTTTTCGAGACAAGGTTTCTCTGTGTGTAGCCCCAACTGTCCTGGAACTTATGACCAGGCTGGCCTCAAACTCCCAGAGATCTGTCTGCATCTGCCTCCCGAGTGTTGAGATTCATCACTGTGAATCTTTATATTGTTTTGTATCAGTGAAGCATCATATCTGTGATAAACACACAAATTGTGTGTTGATCACTGAATGGATGGTTGAGGGAGGCAAGCCTCAGTTTTTGTTTTTGTTTTTTCCCAATGAAGAAGATGGTTCCCAGGGCCTTGTATGGAACACAGAGGTGCTCTACATCTCCAGCCCTTTTTCATTTTTACTTTTTGAGACACAGACTAATTTATCCAGGCTGGTTTTGAACTTGTGATCTTCCTGCCTGTTGCACCGGAGTAGCTGAGATTATAAACCTGTGGCACCAAGCGAGGCTGCATGACTCCTTTTGTACAAGAGAATCAGGTAACCTTCTAAAAGTTTCTACTTTTTATATGAAGCTGTAACTTGCCTGACATAGATGTGGGGATCCAAACTCAAGTCTTCTACAACAGGAGTACCCCCTTAACAGCTGAGCCCTCTCTGACCCCAAGCTGCTACTGGTTTTTTAGACAAGATGGATCAAAGAGGGCCATACTGTAATTGTTAGTGGAGCTTGAATTCATCTCTTTGTTTATTATATTACTACTATGACTTTTAGACTTTGAGACAGGGTCTCACTATGTAGCTATGGCTGGCCTGGAACTTGCTATCATTATGTAGACCAGGCTGGCTTCAAGTTCATAGAGATCCACTTATCTTTGTCTCCCAACTGCTGGGATTACATGCATGTGCCACCACGCCCAGCAAATTAATCTCTCA